AGAAAGATGTTGAGCGAGGACTGATTGTGGGAATGTGGCTCGGATTCTTCCCTTCGTCATAGCTTTGCCCGAGACTGTTCACCTGTCATTTCTCAAGCGAACACTACGAAAAGAAAAGTTCATGTCAATAACACCTTTGGTCGAAAGCAAAGACCTGAGATACGGACGTTTGGAGCTGACCTCTTCTATTGTCGTCCTTGGTTTGGGATACCGGCACAGGCAGCAGCAGCGGCAGCGGCATCAGCGGCGGCGCAGGGTGTTGCGGTGGTGGCGGTGGCGGCGGTGGCGGCGGTGGCGGTAGGGGATGGGGGGTGGGTGGGGCTGGAGTGGGGCTGGCATGGGTAGGGTGGTGCTGCGGGCGGTCTGTGGTGGCGGTGGCGGTGGGGGCAGCGTGGAGGCGGCAGTGGCGGTGGTGGCGGCGGCTGCGGTGACGGTGGTTGCGGTGGCGGTGGATGTTTCCGGCAGCCATACCGTACGAGAAGACTAGTCATCGTCGCTGCCCTCGTCATCGCTGGAGCAGCAGGAGCATCATCATCATCATCAGCAGCACCACCATCATCATTATCATCATCAGCAGCAGCATCAGCAGCGGCTCGCGCAAAGGGCCATCATGTTATGGTACAACAATACTGTATAACAACATAGCGTCACAACATTCAAGAAGCCTGATAACAAAGGCTATACTGTACTACTTCAATATTAAGACTATATCAAAGTCAGTTGCATCATATGAATGCTGAGACCCTGGCACAATCACCGAAGCCCGGTTCAAGCCTCAAGCGTCCCCACGGCACTCAAGCAAGCGGGGTCGTTGCATTGCACCAAGTTGCTTGGTTCTAGGTATGTTGGGCCAAGTGGACTCCTAAAATATAAATCAGCTGGAGGGTCTAAACCTCTTCATTTGCGCACTTGGACCCTTGGGGTATGATAGTGACACTGAACCCTGGGAGAAGGTACAGCTACGTGGGTCCCACCTGAATCGGAGCCCCTAGCATCCCCATCAAACTTGCTTTCCAAAGAGCCGCGGGGGGGGTGCATCAAAGGGGTATATGCACATAGAAATCCAACCCGTTTCGTGATGGTATTTGTTCTGCCAACAAGACTCATGTGGGCCAGAGCATGGGCAACTGGCAATGCCCACCTCCGTAATGTTGTTGCCAACTGATTCATGATTTTGTTCAGGCATCTATATGTGATCAGCTACCTCTTAATGTTGCACACTCTTTAATATGTGGCCCCCCCCCCTCCTCCCCCCCAAAAGATTCAGGGCGTCCTGAATCAAAATTGTTTGAGGTCGGAGCTGAAACCTAATGGTAATCCCGTCCTTCTACTATTGGATTTAAAGTAGATTTCAATTGATGCTAATAGAATTTTAATAAGGTTTCAATGGTTCCAATTGGATCTTAATTCAATTCCAACGGTTTTAATCCGAGTTTATTTGGATTTCAACTGGTTTTAAGTCAGATTTCAATTCGATTTCAATTCATGTTTAATGGAAGTTCAATTAGACATCAACTGACGTTAAAAGGCTTTAACTCGAGTTCAACTGATTTCTACTAGAATGTTGACTAGGTTTCAATTGATTTTTTAGGGTTCTAACTCGATTTCAATTGATTTTTAATAGAATGTTGATTCGGTTTCAATTGGCTTTGAATGTATTTCAACTAATTTTCAATTGGTTTTATAATTCGGATTTAATTCGATTTCATTTGATTGTTATTGGAATTTTCGTTAGGACTGCTGGACATCAAAGAGGGTAGCTAAACATTGTCACTAAAGAGGGTAACATTTCCTGCTGGACTAGGGCTTTTGGAAAATGTTG